CCCCAAAACCCCAAAACCCCAAAACCCCAAAACCCCTATCTTATTATAAAATATAGAAAGAAATGGAGTCTGATGTAAGTTTTACAATCAAATGTACTCTATAATATCTTAAATTTCCTTTAGACCAAACCAAATCTGAAAACTTTACTTACCAAGTTCAGCTTTTTTGTCTGAATAGGGCCCTTTTATGGAGTCTACCACAACTGGAGAGACCTGCTGACTCTGACATGTAGAGAGTCGAAAGAAATGTGGGAGGACAATCTAAATTCATTGAAAAATCTTGAGCTCAAAGCAATCAAATCTGAAAATGCTATCAGTAGATATCTTCGAAGATGCCAAATGAGCTACAGGTAAGACTCTCTTTACTAATCAAAATAGCTACAATAACACAAACAAAATGTTGGTTCTTAACTTTTTCAAAGATTTTGAGAATTGTGAGAAATTTTTAAAACTCTCCAAATGGAGAAAATTTGATGGTCTCAAGAAGATTTGGATTATCTCAAACTGTGACAAGCATAACAATGAAGCTTATTCAAATATGGCTAAGGATATAGTAGACTTGATGCCTCCTATATTGGAATCATTAGTAATTTCATCATCAACTCAAGCACTGAGTATCACTACGCACAAATAATATCATTGCAAAGCTTGTCAACAGCAAAGTAACAGTCCGTACAATAAAGCTATAGGAAAAAGTGGAGGTTTCTAAAATATCCTGATTCTTTTTCAACTTTGATGAAGATAGTTAAGGGGCTCCCTTAATCAATAGAGAATTTAAGGAATGGATCCTTTTAAAATAGTCTAGGTAGAGGCACTCTTGATTAATGACATAGAAACACTAGTCAATCTATTTTCAATCCCAAAGCAATTAACTCTTAGGAATTGCTTCGGATTTGATTTTGATGAATTACCTGAAACTATTGAGGAAAATTTCAAATGATCAATAGAAACTTTGGATCTCAGAAGATCTTTCACCTCAAACAATGAAATAGCTCTAAATTCTGAAAAACTTGAGATGCTTCTTTATCTTCTCAGTCGAACTGATTGATTGAAAACTCTAGATTCAATCATACTAAGATTCATGGACGATCCGTTTAGGACAACTCATAAAGCTCTGATGAAATTAGGGTTTGAGACTTGAGTGATCTACAACGATACAGACATTGACTCTATGTAGCACTCCCTTTAATCAATGAGCTCTCAATGCAATGTTTTACGAAGTATAAGTTACTAAGATTCAACAATGTAGCTAAAATATGGGGTTTTGGGGTTTTGGGGTTTTGGGGTTTTGGGGTTTTGGGGTTTTGGGGTTTTGGGG